AACAGGGAAAAGATTAGCTTCTGTTCAAATTTATAAACAGAAGCTTGAAGAAATCAGATGATAATAATTTAAAGAGAAAATGACAATGAACATGATTCTTGTATCTACTTTGATTAATAACATGTATAATATAAAAGCCATGATAGACAGTGATCTATGTCATTATATAATGATTAAATCTTCAGTCATAAGATGTTACAATCTTCAGTGTATTCTCTTATTAAAATTCTGACTTCTCACAGAATTTGATGATCTAAAAGACATTTGTACTCATTACATGATGAAGTTGAATATAGATGTTGAAGAATATCAATGTGAAGATGTCTATACATATGAAGTTAATAATCTTGATTATAATCTTATATTAGATCTTGTCTGACTATCTGAACAAGGCATCTTATTAAATACTTGAAACAGGAGCTTAATATTCTCTAATAATAATAGAGTTCATGAAGATGATATTTACAAGACTATAGATCTGACACAGATCTCTATCAATATCTATAAAATACTCTGAAAAGAAAGTCACTGAAAAGATCACTGACAGTAAAATCATGTGATAATCTATTTCATCAGTCTGACTAATATTAAGAAAGCTCTAGAGAAGTTATCTCATACTATAATAACAGATTCTCATACAAAACTCTCTCAATAATATCACAAATATCTAGATGTCTTCTGATAAGATAACATTATAAATATACTCTTCTTATGAGACTCAGAAGTAGATCACAGTATCAAGTTAGAAAAGAAGAATGATAAGAACTCTGAGTCATTATAAGACTCTCTTTATAATATGTCTCAAGATGAAGTTCTTCTTCTTCAGAAGACACTCAATAATCTGATGAATAAGAAATTCATACATGTTAGTAACTCTTCTGCTGCAGCTTCTATTCTCTTTACAAAGAAATCAGATAAAGAACTCTGATTCTGTATGAACTATTGAGAATTGAACAGATTAATTAAGAAAAACTGCTATTCTTTATCTCTTATCAATGAAACTCTAGCTTGTATTAAACAAGCTCAATGATTTATAAAACTAGATATTATCACTGTATTTCATAAAATTCATATCACTGAAGAAGATGAATGACTTATAGCATTCTGAATATATTATAGTCTTTTTAAATAAATAGTTACACTCTTTGAACTGATTAATACTCTCAGTATATTTTAGAAGTATATCAACTGAGTACTCTGAGATTTTCTTGATGAATTTGTATCTGTATATCTTGATAATATTCTCATCTTCACTGATAAGTTCAGAAAAGAATATCAAGAATACATGCAAAAAGTATTACAATAATTACAAGAAGTCAGACTATCAATAGATATTAACAAGTATGACTTCAAAGTCAAGAGTATTAAATATCTAGATTTTATCATAGAAGCTGATAAGAGAATTTGAATGAATTCTAAGAAAGTTTTTATCATTCTTGAATGAGAAGCTTCATATACTGTGAAAGATATACAAAGCTTTATCAGATTTACTAACTTCTATCAGTGATTTATATAAAACTTCTCAGATATTACAAGATTACTTACAGAACTCATTAGAAAGAACTCAGTATTTCAGTGATCAGTGAACACTGAAGCTGTATTTATACAGATAAAGAAGATATTTATTAACACTTTTCTGCTAATAATATTTAATCTCAATTATAAAACAGTTATTGAAGCTGACTTCTCTGACTATGTTACAGAGAAAGCTATATTATAATATAATAATAAAGATGTCTTATAATTATACACCTTCATATCTAAGAAACTGAGTTCTGTTAAATGCAACTATGAGATCTATGACAAGAAACTTCTTACAATTATATACTATCTAGAAGAATGAAATTCTGAACTCTGAAGTATCTTTAAATTTAAGATAATCACAGATTATAAGAATCTCAAGTACTTTACAACTACTTATAAACTCACTGAATAATAGATATGATAATCTGAGTTCTTAAGCTGCTTTCATTTTACAATACACTACTGTCTCAGCAGTCAGAACTCAATGACAGATGCTCTCTTATAATAAGAGTAAGATATGTCTTTCAATGTAACAGATATCTGTTGAATAAATCAAGAACATCAGCTTCTAGATCTGAAGATATTAGTTAATCAAGATGAAACAACTTATAACACTATACACACTTCTCTGATTAGAACATTCTCTCTCTAAACTATCACTGACACTGATACTGACACTGATACTGACACTGTCATTAATATCTCAACTTGTCTCAAATCTACACTGAATGAATTATAACATATAACAGCTCAAACTAATGAACTTCTTCAAGCACTCATTGAAGCAGTATATCAAGAAGCATCTCAATTTCTTTCAGAACTATATATAAGAACTGACATCTCAGAATGCTTAATCAATGATAATAACACTCTGTAGTTCTGTAAATAATATTGAGTCTCTCACTCTGAACTCTTACACACTCAGATAATGCAAGAGATGCATCATTTATATATAACTGATTACTCAGATTATAAAGAATTATACTGAATAATCTCTCAAGAGTTCTACTAATCTGAGATATTAAATAGTATCAGATGTTTTATTTAAAACTGCAACTATTGTTCTTTTATTATCTTATGAAAGAACTGTAGAAAAGATCTACTAAAATCACTTAATATTTCTAATAGAATCTGATAAGATATAGTAATTAACTTCACTATTAATCTCTCTGAGAGTAAGAGTTATAAGAACATTCTGATCATTGTGAACTGATTGAGCAAAGATATAATATTAAAACCTTGTAATAAGATGAATATTAAATAAGTTACTGAAGCTTTTCTACAGAGCTCATTCTATTAGATATATAAATTACTGAGATCTATAGTATCAGATCAGAGCTGTCAATTCATGAGCACTCTCTGAATAAGAATCTGTCAAGTTCTCAAGATTATATACTATTTGTTAACTATTTATTACTCTAAGACTGATAATGTATCAGAAAAGATAATTCAGACTGTAAAGAAATATCTTTATAAGTTCTGTAACTACTTATAAGATGATTGATATAATCTTCTTCTACATACAGAGATTGCTATCAACAGCTGAGATGCTGTCTCAACAGATATAAGTCTGTTCTTTCTTATATATAATTATCACATAAAAGTATTAAATCTTCTAGAAATTATGCATTTCACACTGAATTCTCACAGTTCAATTCAGATTGCTGATAATATAGTAACAAAGCTCTGAGATATTCATGACTGAGCAGAGATCTTTATAATAACTATAAAACAAGATCAAGAGAATTAAATCAATGTTTATCAAGATTCTGCTAAGTAATATAAGATAGAAGACTTAATGTAATTGAATCTTAAGAATATATAAATCACATATTTATCTCATACACTGAATTACTGTTATATCAAGTATAAAGTAATAGAAGTTCTAGATAGTTATAACTACTATCTTAATACATTATCAGAAATTTATAATATTTTTCACATGAGCTTGTTTCACTGCACTATCACTGATCTGTTCTCTTCTCAACTGATTTCTGACTGACAGTTATCAGAGATCATAGAAGAAGATAATAAACTTGAATAAGAAATTGAAGATATTCTTAATAAGAGATCTTACAGCTGTAGCTGATAATATCTTGTAAAATGAGTTAACTATAATTATCTAATCTGAACTCTGAGTTCTGTGTTATCTGAGATCACAGCTCTCAACTGATAAGAACTACATATAATTAGAGAAGAAGAGAACTAATATAATTAGCTGTGTCTGATTATAATATAGACTATTTCTTTACACTTCATAGATTTCACTGAAAGCTCTGATTCTCAGTCATTTTCAATCATCAATTCTCAGCTGAAAAACTTATAGAATTTCTATTCTTTCATTCTAAAGCTTTACTGTGTACATACTGCATACACATATAAATATTCACTCTGATTATCAATTCTCACACTTTCTCTTTCTTTTCCTTCTTTAACATTTTTCACTTTATTATATAAGATCTATAAATATTATATCAATCTATTCAGCATAGATCTCTTACAAGAATCAATTCAAAATTAATTCAAAATTAATTTAATACTGAAATTATTCTTGAAAATTTAATAATAAAGTAAGTATTTATATAATTTACACTGAATTGATTATCAACTGATTTTCAATCAATTGTTAATTACTTAAATATACAGATTGAATTTATTTTTATTACTATAATTAATTAACAATTAATTCAGAATTAATTCAAAATCAATTTAAAATCAATTTAAAATTAATTATTCAATATTTTTATCATGATATATTTTAAAATTCTGTAAAACATCTCTTTATATTCTATATGAATTTATCTGTTCATTTAATTGATTATGAATCAGCTATACATGCTTTGATTGATTGATATGAATGAATGAGTGAATTGAAAGGTTGAAAGTCAATTACCAACTGATTATTACTGTATTGTGCGAGGTCAGGGTCATGATTATGTAATGAGGTCAAGTGGCGCACTTAGCGAGGTCAAGTTTTCTGTATACACACTACGCCAGTCAGTTGAGTATGAGACATCGCTTACAAATCTAGCGATGCGTCTTCAAGTTCGGTATATCAGGGATCACAGAACGGAAGATATTGAAGAGCTGTTTACACTCAATCGCCAACTAGAGCGTTACGCACCAGGTAACTACGCCACAACATTCCCATTGCCTTGTGACCAAGGCTGAATTTGCGTACTAGCTGTTCAGGCGTAGCGATGAGCTCAAGGATCTCAATGAACCTTACTTCTCTTACAAGACCGCCTAGCAACACTTCCAAAGGGCCATGAGAAGCGGGTTGAGATTATTAGAAGGATTAGTGAACTATATGAATGCAAATACCGACTTTCAGGTGATCCATCTCACCTGCGGCGGGCCGCTGACTCTTTTAATTCAATAATTCAAAAAATGCCACCCACTCATCCCACGAGGGCCAATTTGGTGGCTCATCATATTTGATGGTTTTGAAAAATTGTGTTCTTGCAAGCAATTCAATGAGCGAGGTCCAGGACACTATCAAGGAGCCCATCCAGCTGCGGGGTGAAGTACCAGTCGGCCATTCTAAACGCCATTCCTGCAGACTTTCCATCGGAAATATGCTTGCCAGGCGGTATATCATCTCGCATGAACAACAAGACCTGAGGGAGGTTATAAAACATGCAATCGAGACATGCCGTGAATTCGAGACCCTGCAGTGACAAAATGGAATAGGAAGAATAGTTGACATTTCACCACTGCAAGAGCTTTCATCTTGGATCTCTAAAGTCAATGATGCTTCCTTTCACCCTTTGACGTTCCATCGACTAGGCAGGCTCAGCAGAAGGTTTATCAATATTTTTGTTCAATATATCACCCTGACGAGCTAATGTCAAGCCACATAAAACTTCAGCTTGAGAAGGAAGAATATCTCAACAATCTCCTTGACAACATGCAATTTGCGGACCAGTTGACCACGAACAAAAACCAGACACAAGAAATTGTAAACCAAAATCTCCCAGAGACCAGTGATGGCGCAATATGCCGGCCGATTTTGTCTCTTATTGAAATCAAGCCTGGAAGACTCCATCCTCATTTGGCTGAATGGACCGAGAGATTCAGAGAACGCTGTTCAATATTCAAAAGCTCCCCACCGGAGAAACCATGCTGGGTGTAGAATACGGCATGAGGCCGGTTGGTGCCATTAGGATTATAACTCCTCAAAATCAAGCAGATACTGTGTGGCAGGAGTGGCAGAAATTCCCATATTCATCTCAGGGGCAATTAGTGGATCCGAGTAAGTTGTGGACATGACTCAATGACTGAAATATCTATCACAGCAGGGCCTGTAATAGCTCATGGGGAAATAGGGGTACAACAACGACATTCCTTTGCTTCTGATCGACGGATCTCGTTTCTGTCTCATCTACACAACCTCCGCAGAGAAATATTTTACCTTAAGCTATGTTTGGGGGAAGACGAAAATGCTCTTGACTATGAAAGCCAACCTACAGGACTGCCTTAAGGAAAACTCACTCATCAACGAGAAGAAGTACATGCTTCCACAGACAATCAAGGATGCAATGTCAATTGTCCGCTCTCTGGGCGAAAAATATCTGTGGATTGATGTTATCTGTATTGTACAGGACGACCTAAATACGAAACATCATGATATCCGTCATATGGATATTGTATACGGCAAATCGTTTGTCACCATCGCTGCGATGCACGGGAATGATGCCACAGCTAGATTACCAGGAAATCCTTCCCAATACCCGGCCTCCACAGGCGACAGAATCAATCGTGGTCTAAGAGGATAAGTCTCTCATGCTGCAACACCAAGTCTCTTTAAAATCTACAGCGGTTAATGAGATGACACTAACAACAACTCCTTCTCCATTCCCTCTCGTCTTGGAAACCACTAGATGGAACACTCGAGGCTGGACGTTACAAGAACACTTGTTATCTCGGAGACGCATCTATTTCAGCTCAAATTACATCTACTTCCAATCACTAGGGAGACCATGTGCGGAACTACGCTAGAAGGGTCTGCTGAAATTTTCGGCAGGCCGTGCGAGGTTCCCTAACCGATCGGAAGTGAAAACCCCTAGCCGATCTCGAGAAAACTGGTCTACTCCCCAGAAACGAAGGTGTACACCGAATATTTCAAGGATACAACAAACTGGTAGAGCAGAACACGTCGCGAGAATTAACAATTCCATCCGACATCTTGAACGCTTTCTCTGGAATTCTCGCTGTTCTTGCTGACCACTTGAGGAGCAGTTTTGTGAGCGGTTTCCCAGCTTCAGCTGTTGACCTGGCCTTGCTGTGGGCTCCTGTTTATCCAGTAACTTGAAGAATCTCGAGCAAAACAGTCCCAGTTGAGGCTGATAAAGGAGCGTCATTCCCTAGTTGGTCCTAGGCAGGTTGTCTGGGAGCCGTAGAATACCCGACTGCTAGCGGCGCCACCCATTTGCCAGGTTTTGCCCTACTATACCCCCATCATGGTATATTGCGAAGAATCCATGGAAGAAACAAATTGGCAGATTCCGTGGTAAATACCCACCGGACCATCATCCCGACATTTCCAGCTCAGAGTTCGAACATGAACAAGTAAACATTGCCAGTCTAGATCTTGGGTCGAATGTGCTACAATTCTAGAGCAGCGTATTTGACACTACTTGCTTCCAGTTGCCCACAGCGAAATGCCGTGCATTATCTTAGTAAACGAGGCCACGTTCACACATGAGGACAGCAGGCCGTGCTTAGACTAGAGGATAAGAAAGGTCGCCACTGTGGGCTGATATTTGACACAACGGATGACTTCGTTCGACAGACATTCGTGAAGCAGCATAAGGGCACCAAGGTCAACAAGCAGGAATCCAGTGAACTGGTTGCCATATTCGACGGATGTAAATGCGCACACGAGATACGACGCGGGCTCTAGAGGGTTGAGGGTGAGATAGATGTGAGCGTGGTCAATGCTTTGGTTGCAGTAGGACCATATCCGAGCTCTGCGGGAGGCCCAGCCAAACCACAGGCACATACGACTTGCCGAATAGTGTTTGGGGCAAGTTCTTCGATTCCTGGAGCTTTCTGCCACTGCCTAAATCTAGGCATCAAGGGTCTCAGTCCTCAACTCCTTCCTTCCGGTATAATAATATTTTCTTCAAAGACAGAGAGAAAGAGAATAGGAAAAAGAGTTGAAAGAGTTGTTTGAACACAACCCCTGACCGGCAGTCTTCCTAAGAGAGTAACTATGGATTCCGTTACAACCGATTGGAAAATAGCTCATGATCCAATACCCTTGAAACATTGTTGCTCTCTTTCTCCCATCAGATTTGCTGTGAATCAAGCAGAAAAATGAACCTATTTTAGTTATGTTACAACGCGATTCAATTAGTTAATTGGGACAAATATAAACAGATAACTAGCGCGCATTGCCTTGCGATGCTCGGAGAGGAATTCAGGGGTTATAAACTAACTTCCTATCCTATACCACATACCGGGGCTTTCTCCGCTAGGGATTGGCGGGGGCTACGGGCTTAATGCGAGTCCAAATCCCCCAGCTGTGGATAAAGGAGGACTGACTGCGGTGGACAAGGGCTGTCGTAATGGGCCAATCGGTGGCAGCTAATTCGACATTCTTGCAACTCGAGATGTTTTGCATCCCTCAGCCCCCGCTATTTTCCCGCACCCATGGCGATGATGTCAATGGTGTGAACAACGGGTTTTTCTTGTTTTCTTTAAACAAAGAAAGAAAGAAAGAAAGAAAAAAAATAAAAAAATACAAAGAATCCTCTACATAGCCAAATTGCGCAGATGGCGTGACGTCAATGGATAAACGACCAAGGTATATAAACGCTTGGAGGAAACCTGGGTACCCCCTCCCTTGGTCATGGCGTTCTGTCTCATCGCTTTCTTTGAAGCCACAGACGATTGCTGCCCAAAGGTGCCCCTGAAAACTCTGATGGCAGATTCAGGCTTCGGGCTATTGAACTGAGCGTTCGTTGTCCATTCCCCTACAAATACCCGTACGTTTTGCTCTTGTTCCTACGTTCACATTTTGTGCGCACCTCACAGGATTGCGGATAGGAGCCATATAACCCCAAGTTTGATCTGATTCATTTCGCTGCTGAAAAGCTGTAAGCTAGAAAACCAGATCCATTTGGATTCGCCTATTAATTGTTTACATCGCCACACAACATGACGATTGAGAAACAATCAATTGGCTTCGTCGGCCTCGGCCTCATGGGCTTCGGCATGGCTACGAACCTCGTCAAGCAAGGTTACACCGTCAAGGGATATGACATTTCGGAGCCAACGTTGGCCCGCTTTAAGGCAGCCGGCCGCCATACTGCTTCATCTCCTGGTGATGCGGCGAGCGGGAATTTGTTCTGTGTTTGCATGGTCGCTACCACTGCCCAGGCGCAAGCTGTGATTTTTGACCATGAAAATGGCATCGCGAAGGGTAGGTACTATGTTATATTATTTTTCAGAAGTTTATACGTGCTGTATATGTTTCATCTATTCGGCGTAGCTAATATAATATCGTAGCTCTCCCCAATGGCGCGACTCTCATTCTATGCTCTACCGTCCCAGCCATGTCCGCGCAGTCATTCCGGGACCAACTAGTGTCCATTGGCCGCGAAGACGTACACTTTATCGATGCGCCGGTGTCAGGTGGAGCTAGGAAGGCCGGAGAGGGTACCCTCACCATAATGGCAGGCGGCTCAGACGCAGCGCTGGAAAGGGGCAAATTCCTCCTTGAGGAGATGTCGGATACGCATAAGCTGTATCTTGTGCCTGGCGGTATCGGCGCAGGCAGTAACAGGAAGATGATCCACCAAGTGCTTGCCGCCATCCACATCCTCGCGGCAAGCGAAGTCATGGGCCTTGCTGCACACCTAGGATTGAATGCGAAGGAAGCGGCAGAGGCACTTATGTCTTCTGATGCATGGAGCTTCATGCATGAGAACCGCTGCGAGCGCATGCTGATAGAAGATTATTATCCGGGGTCTAGTGCTGTCACTATTATCCTCAAAGACGTGGTATGAGATTTAATTTTCCTCCTACCAGTTATCACAAATTAACAAAAAACCCTTCCCCCTAACTAATTTCACGAATAACCAGGCCATCGTCACCGCCGCCGCGCGCCTTCACAGCTTCCCCACCCCCCTCTGCGGCATCGCGGAGCAAACCTTCCTCACCGCTCTCCCTCTCGGCTTCGGGGGTGACGACGACGCCAGCCTTGTGCGCCTCTACTACCGAGACCCCATCACTAAAGCTGACCCAAAAGCCTCCTTGAACCCGGAAAGAAACGCAGCGGCGCTCAAGCTCATTGTCTATTTGCTTACCAACATCCACCTCGTCGCTGCCGCCGAAGCCATATCGTTCGCCCGGCTTCTCAAGGTCGATCTGCCATTGGTCTACGATGTCGTCAACGCTGCGGCGGGCGCGAGCAAAATTTTCAAACTTCGCGGCGCGGAGATGATGTCTGGCTTAACGGGTGGGGTAGATGGTGATGGGGGTAAGAGGAAGACGATCAATGAAGCCATAGCGGAGCTTGCTGCCGTTGTACAGGGGGCACGGGATGTGAATTGCCCGCTTCATTTGGGGAATGCGGCGCTTAATATCCTCTATGTGGCGAGAAAGCAGGGGCTGGGTGAGGAGGCTGATTCGCATGTTTTGCGGGTTTATGAGCATGTATAGAGTGTGAGTGGGCCCGGATCGCTGGTAGGGTGGAGGGTGCGTTCCTCATGCTTCTCTTCTTCCCAGATCTGCTAACTTCTATTGCCAAACCCTGTGTTCTCTGTTTCTGACCCGTTTCGTTCCACATAGGAACTTTATGCATATATGCACTGATGAGTCCCCGTTAGCATCGCAGATAATAGCCTATCAATGGAAGCTTTATGACTTCCCTAGCCAGCCAATTCTTTTTACCTTTTCTTAATCTCCCATTGGGAATTCCAAATAGACATAGATATACACAAGATCACCTACTTAACTACACAATAGGTATGATACATACTCCGTACATATAGAGCCACTCAGCCACGGCAGATCTGCCTCTATCAACCCCAAAATTTATATTCTATACACCAACTTCCGTCCACTAACCTTATTCCCCTTCATAAGCGCCCATCCATCCATTAGCGATAGCCTCCAACCCACCCACCCCCCCTCATCCCTCAGCACCCGATGCGCCCACACCCTCCCCTCACCAATCAGCTTCTCCGCAATGTCTCCAAAGCGCGGAGCAAGCTCAAAATTCTCCCGCTGAGCAGGAAAGAAATGTGCACCTACACTGAATTCTTCGTCGATGGCCGTGTACACCACCAAGGCGCTGCTCTCTCGATATCATCGCGCGCCAGCTGTGGGAATTGTGTAGTCGTGTCTTTGTCGCTAGGGTGTGAGGAGATGGCGGCGTTGCATACGGCGGATTTGCGGGATGCGATGGTGTCGTAGACGAGGTGGAGGGTGTTGTTATTGTATTCGCTGGATTATCTTGCCGGTGATTACATATTCCACAAACGCGCCCTTGGATCGGCTGCATCTCGTTAAAGCACTGGTTTCAATGAAGCCCATGCATGACTCTGCTCTCACCTGGCGAAGTTCTTAGTGACGGTGGGGGCCCGACCTGCTCGACAGATGGTGCTGGGGAAGTGCAGCCGCAGCCGCCTACTGTGGATTCTTCCAGGCTGCCGGGTTGAGGCCGACGTATGTAGGGATATAGATATGTACTGTACTCATATTTTGACACAGGAAGAAGGGATAATTGACTAGACTGAGGACCCTGAAGGGAGGCCGACGGGGTCGTGTAAATATCCAGCACGACGATGGGAAGGGAGAAGAATACTAAAACTCTGCGATTGTAATCTTTGGTTGTTGATTGGAAATCAGATCGTATCCATGCGCTCGTATATGTGCTGTACATACGGAGTATATACAGAGGTTACTCCCAAAGGGTTTGATTAGCACTAAAAAAAATATTCAGTTTCAAAACGACACTTCGGGCCTGTGACATCGTGCAAATCTTAATAGCTATCAATAGCGGCCTCATGCCCTATATCGATGCCTCTAGGGGGCAGGAAAACTCCGCAAAGTTTGGTTGATTATTGCCTTAGCAAGCCAAATCCATTTACGTCATTGACTTCCCCGCAACAGCTACATCAACGCGATAATGTACTCGCGGGCCCTACAGAAGACAGTGGATGGCGGGCCTCGAGTAAGAAAGTTGACTATAAACGTAACAGAAATTGTTACGACAGCCAAATAAATAAACCAAATAAAATAATCCTTTAGTCCCAACAGTAAGCAACTACTCTGTGCTTAGCGGCAATTAGGACGCTCGATCATCGGAGACATGGTTATCAATCAATCATGTTGACAAATTGCGAATTCCATGTGCTGAAAGATAGCCCTCAAACTCCGCCGGCATGCCAGACAGATTCGCGAAGGCAACGTAGCCATCAGGACGCAAAAGATACGCAGCATCCTGAGCGAACCCAACGCTCTTATATTCCGCCGTCCAGTCGAAGGCATGCAGTGCAACTCCCTTCTCCTTGCACCATTGCTTCATCTCCTCCTTGGGCGTGCCGTAAACATGAACCTGCCACGCAATCGGTGATAGTGTCGCGTAGTTATCTGCCCCGTTCGCGGTTGTATATGGCAGTCGGTCTCCGCCGTGCACCTGGCCAGCCACACCACCTACACCAGCCGTTCCGCGGTAGGTTATCTGCGTTTGCGACAGGACGCGGAACGCATAATCCGTAGCACCTGGCAGCCGTATTAAAATGGGAAGGATCAAGGGTACCATATAAGTGCGGACAATATCCGCGAGGAACCCCCTGGACGTTGCGATGGAGAAAGCCTGGTCCGTCCGCTGTGTCAATGTCCGCGCAAATGAAATCCTCTCCGCCTCATAACTGTCCAGCAGCGATGAATCTGCATAGCCCTGCAACACCGCCGCGAGTTTCCAGGCCAAATTAACCGCATCGCCGATTCCGGTGTTCATTCCCTGCCCGCCGGCCGGACTATGGATGTGGCCTGCGTCGCCGACGAGAAATACCCGGCCACTCCGGAAGTGGCTCGCCACCCGATGGTGGACGCGATATGTTGAGAACCAGTTGACTTTCTCCACCTTTATTTTCAAGCTAGCTATGGCGGTGCCCACTACATCTTCGAACGTGAGTGTCTCTGGCGGGGCGTTGTTGGGTCTGTCGCTGACGATACCTATTACTCGCACGCGCGAGCTATCATCGTAGGCAAAGATGAGGAGGAAGTCGGAGGAATGGAGACTGACATGGACCTCTCCGTTGATGGTAGGCCCGCTGGCCTCGACGTCTGCGACGTAGAATAACGGTTGATATGTCTCGCCGGGGAATTGTATGTTCTCGAGCCCACGACGCACGGTGGACGACGCCCCGTCGCAGCCGATGATATACTGTGCCTCGCAGTTCTCTTCCCGTGCCTGAGTATCGTTGCGCAGAAGCGTGTAGGAGACATAGTCGCCATGGTCTGTGAAATCCAACAGCTCCGTATTCCGCTCGACGATGACGCCATCCTCCGCCAATTTCTCCTCCAGCAGCTTCTCATGCCGGTCCTGCGGGTAGACGTGGAGGAACGGGTACGGCGTGATCCGTGTCCCGATCTCGCCAATCGGCAATCGCACTCGATGTCTCCCCTGGACCCAGAGGTTTGCAGCTACCATCTGCTTGCCGTCCGCAATCACCTCGTCCGCCAGGCCTAGTTTCTGGTAGAGCTCGAGTGTGCGAGCATGCATGACTATGGCGCGGGAATCAGAGGCCCTGAACTCTCCCTTGTCGATTACCCGCAGCGCCACGTTCTGTCTCCGCAGCCATGACGCCAGAACGAGGCCTGAAGGTCCACCGCCGACGATGAGCACTGGGATGCGAGTCATATTGTTTGTAGGGTAGGTGGGTGGGAACTTCCGAAGCGGAGTAATGGTTGCTATGATTTCATTCAATTGTTGTATATAAGTGGGACGGACATTAGGTTCGCGAGATTAGTTTCTGATAGAGAAGAAAATGAACCAGGCGACTTGTGCCTTCTGCTTGGACCATAGTGTATGTATATACATGTACATGTACATGTACAGTAGTACATCAACATTCTGTGCTGCAGTTAACTGTTTAACTAAGTTTGAGCTACGTAACTCCACTAACTAGTTAAATAAGGCGAGACCGTCTGCAGGATACTTAGTATGTAGTTATGTAAGTTACATTGTACGGAGTACATGTACATGTATCTAAAGGCATGTATGATACTCCGTAGTATACCTGCTTGACGCGCACCCTCTTCAAAGGTATATAAATCATGAAATCAACCTCTCACTGCCCACTGCTCACTCAAACCCTGCGCACAACCCCTCACAGACTCACTTTTCCTAATTACTCGCATTGATGTCTCCCGCATCAAAGGCCGCCGATCAACGGCCAGCGCTACTGTGACTAGGGAACAGCGAGCTACAGGTCAAAAATTTTTAATCATAATAATAATCATAATCCGTCTCCAAATCACCAAGCTCCAACCAGTCGGCAGACAAAGCTCGGTACGGCAGCATATAGTGGCAAATGGGTCAAATGTGTATTTTATACGTGTGTTACAATGAGCACACATCAATATTAGCAATCAAGATCTCCTCATTGGAGGTTGTATGAAATAGTGACCCATATCGTGGACAGTCTCTATACTTGGGGGTTTCTATACCTGGGGACTCTCTACCCAGGGGTTCGATGTCAGTATATTTCTGAATCAGGGACGTACTGAATGAAATACATATGTAGGATGTAATGTGGTTGGTACAAAGAATGTGTGGCATATGCTATATATTTCACATGGAGGAGGAAGCGGGGGCAGTGATTTCCTCTCAGAGACATATTGCCAGGTGCATGGCCAGTCACTTCCTCACACAAAGTATAAGGGGGACGAATAACCGCACAGCGATCAAATTGGTTATTGTCATTCATTATCTCCCTCCCATCTTCAACATCCATCAAGAATATAAACCAAGGAATCTGCCTACACCAAACCTTCGCTCGTCAAACCCTTTCCTAAAGCCGAACAAAACCACCCGTTGAAACCAAAACATCCGGACTCACTCCATCTACCGTGTTGTCCTCAGAGTGCATTGGTATCACGCCCTCTGCGGCCACACAGCTGCCGAATCTGCTGCCCCAGCCAAATCCAAAGTAATGGTTTACCCTGCGATGCCGCGACGCAGATTGAGGTGCTGCACATTCCGATGTATGGAGCGTGCGCGTTGTGTCGCAATCTCAAGGAAGATGAAGTTGAGGCTGAGGAAAAGGGATATGATAAGGAGAAGACGAAGCAGCTAGCGGTTGAGCGGCAGAGGTAATTACTAGGGGCGGTGGGGGGAATGGTGGCGAGAGCATGAAGTGTGTAGGCTATGAGGGGAGATTGAGATGGGGTTTCCTTTTTTATCTCTGAGAGTTCGAACTTTGGCAGCAAGGGTAAAGAGGCCTTCTCGGGGTGGGTGAGCGAATTGGCTCGGAGCTGCAGGATGGGTCCATGTCCGGGGTTGTATAGCGAGAGGACCAAAAGCTGTCAAATTGAAATTCATAGGAGAGACCAAAAAGTAACTCTAGATACATGTGTGTGTTATTTATTCATACACGCCCTGTTCAAACTTATCGACATCGAAGAATCGTGCAGTGATCGTGTTTCCATTGAAAATCCGCCCTTCAAGTGCATTAACTGCCTATGGTGTTCGTTAGTGACTGGGATCTTTAAATCTGGGTTCGTTTAGAAAAGACGCTCCGAATTAACTGTAACTTACTCGTAATGCAGACAGCTGGCTCGTAAATTTGACAAATACAGGTATTTTGCCTGTGCTGTTTCGATCGATGAAGACCCGCTCTACTCGTCCATACTGCAGTATATGTTAGGAGCTGAAAAGAGATAGTCACTCGACTGGCATATATTTGGAAACATATTCCCGCATACCTTCTCAGCGCACTCGTCTCCGATCTCTTGCATCAAACCTCCGCCTTCACCACCCTCTAGCTCTGCGTCCAAATCCATTCCGTCTACCATGCCGTGCAGCACAACTACTTCACTCATCCGTCCGAACTTGCCATCTTCTGACTTTTTCTGGTTTCCGCCGATTATCTTAGCTCTACCGGCCGGAGTAGCAAATCCTCCACCCTCGGAATCCGGTTTCTTCTTTTGCTTTTCTATCTTGACCTGCAAGGGTTTCACTATGCCTTCCCTACTTGCACCCAAACCGGTGCCTTTCGTCCATCCGTACTTCGTGAGTAGCCTTTCTGCAAAGCCTTTCTGACCGGGCCGAAGAGATCGGGGCGCATCTCCGTCAGTTTCTTGTTTGTTATCTTCCTCCTTCGCGAACGTTGCCTCCAGTTCTGCTTCCGTCGCGGGAATCTCTTCGGGTGCTGGAGGTAATGTATATCGGACTGGCGCTCGCGATATGGTGGCAGATGCGAAAATCTGATTGGGCGGAGGCGGATGTGGAGGCAACGACTCCGATGATGGTGGAGGAGGAGAAGGAGGTATAGGTATATTTGTAGAACTAGTATCTATCGCGGCGTACGCATTCTGGCTCATCCGGAGTCGTCGGGCATACGCATCTTCCCCAGTCGCATCATCAGGAAACGTTGCCGTCGGAGGCACTGGCGTGGCTTCTGACAAATCCTCCGAGTGCTGTTGTTCTGGTCGAGGTTCATTAAGATTTGGAGGAGGCGCAAAGTTGAGGCCTGGAGGTGCAAATTTCCCTATGGACGGATATTTATCAGCAACGTGAGAATTACTTTCAGAAGGATAAAAAAAAAAAAAGAGTGAGCCGTACGATTTCGTGGTGATCTCGAGTATTCCTCGTCACTATCCAGCCCACTACTTGTCCCTCTAGCCATCCGATGCGCATACAAACGGTCTTTCCATTCTCGAACTTCTCGTATCTTTTCCTCGCTATGCCTATATGCTTCGTAGCTATTAGGTCGCGACGGGTCGTATATATCATCCCAATTCTGCAGGTTTGTTTCCTCCTCACGGTTCTTCTTGCGCTTTTTACGACCACCCCGCTGTCTTTTTTCACCACCATAAAATCCGTTCACGTCATCATCCTCGGCTGTTGTAGCCCAGTCCGCAAGTGACGTTTTTGCCGCGGGTTTCGCGGCGATTCCAGCCACGGCAGATGTTCCCGTCGCCGAGCCCACAACGGGGGCCTTGGGTATACCGGGCTTAGCTTTAGCCTTCTGGGAAGCCAGCTGAGGCCTTTTCGTAGGTTGAAACCGTAGAGAAGCTGAAATTCATTGAGCGAGTCAAACAGGACAAACGAGTGAGTAAACCAAATCGGGTACAGCAAAGATGTATGGTCGGGGAAGGGTAAATTGGCTACCAGCACTTATCTGCTGCTTCTTTGAAGCTGCATCGTCTTGTTGCGCATCATTTTGGCCGGCTTGCTTGAATACAACGGGAGCTCGCGAGATGGTTCCGGGGGCTGACCCATTATCCGAAGACGGATCAAGCAAGTTGGCGTATAACGACATCATACTCCCTTTGGGGGGAGGTTGAGACACCATCTTCGGAATGAAGTTATTGAAAGTCAGGCTCCGTGGTTGCTAAAAACCGAGCACCACAATAGGTCACCAACGTCGCCAGACACGCAGCTTATACGCGAAATATATATCCAGGGATACTGGAACTGCGGGTGTCTGCTGTTGTTGTCGCCATTGATGCTCTGTCGCAGAAGAAGCCAAAAGTAGCATGTTTGCCATGTTTGCCATATTTGCATGACTCGCGGAAGCTTCCATCCAGCGTGCTCGGTAATCGCCAGACATTCGACGAGTATCAAAATGCGTCATCAGCTTGAGTTTGATATCAACGGTTCGACTCACCAAGAGCATACTAGATTTATTCTGGCTAGATTGTACTCGGAACTTGCATTTCTAATTTTCATTTCTAAATTGTTCGTTGACATTGGTATAGCCATCGTCCAATCATGTCTACTCTGGAAAACTCATTCCCCGGCTCCGCTGCCACCGCGATCATCGTGCCTGGCAAACCGGAGCCGTTAACGATTTCGTATCAGCGTTTACGTTCTGATGTGAACTCATTCCAAACAAAACTGGCCAAACTGGGAATCTCACCCGGCGCTGCTGTTTCAATTGCGCTGCCCAATTCTTACGGATTCATCGTTTCTTTTCTGGCTGCGTCATGGCAGAGAGCAATTGCGGCTCCGCTGAACCCTGCATACAAGCAAGAAGAGTTCGAATTCTATATTGATGACTTGAGTTCGGCATTGACGCTCGTCCCAAGGGGCTCTTTTGCGAGTGATGGGCCAGCTGTACGTGCTGCAAGGAAATATTCAGCAGCTATTGCTGAATGCTACTGGAACGGGAGTGACGTGGTTTTGGACGTCAAAGAGCATGGAAAATTGGTAGGGAAGGGTGACTTAAAGAAGGAAGTGGCTCAGCCTGATGACGTCGCATTGGTGCTCCATACCTCAGGTAAGATCTCTCTCAAAAGCTTGGAGGAGTAACAATTTACATAGCTTGAATTGGTTATTAAGCCGTCTAGATCCTATTTTTCCCCCGAGCTTCCCGTTGATATATAGTCCTAGTACAAGTATGCTAATGTTCAATCAGGAACTACTGGCAGACCGAAAGCTGTAAGTTGGTTGCAGATATCTCTCGGTAAATATTATACTTACAATCTTAGGTACCCCTTACACACCGGAATCTTACGAGGACCATGAGTATGTTCAATTGCTATAGACTCTTACTTTTCATGCTCTGACTAACCAATACCCCAGAAAACATCCAAGCGACCTACGAGTTGACGGAGAAAGACCGAACGTTGCTTGTGATGCCTCTTTTCCATGTTCATGGCCTGCTTGCGGCGTTCCTCGCGCCTCTTTTGTCTGGAGGCTCTGTCATCGTTCCCGAAAAATTCTCAGCCTCAACATTTTGGTCTGAATTCATTACGTACAACGCAAACTGGTACACTGCAGTTCCTACCATTCACCAGATCCTCCTTAAAACGACACTCCCAAAGCCCATACCGAAAATTCGATTCATTCGCTCCTGCTCCTCCCCATTGTCCCCAAAGACCTTCCATGAATTGGAAAAGGCCTTCCATGCTCCGGTGTTAGAAGCGTACGCAATGACAGAAGCCGCTCACCAGATGACGAGCAATCCTCTTCCTCCAGGAAAGAGGATGCCAGGCACCGTTGGTATTGGCCAAGGAGTGGAAGTTAGAATTCTTGACCAGGATGGGAATGAAGTTCCTCAGGGTTCCGAGGGTGAGATTTGCATTCGCGGGGAGAATGTCACAAAGGGATACATCAACAACCCTGCTGCAAATGAAGCCTCGTTCACAAAGTCTGGATTTTTCCGCACCGGTGACCAGGGAAAAATGGACAAGGACGGTTACGTTTTTATCACAGGGCGTATCAAGGAGCTTATCAATAAGGGAGGCGAGAAAATCAGCCCTATCGAGCTCGACAACACGATTGCTCACAACCCTAATATTGCGGAGGCAGTGTCCTTTGCTATTCCGGATACCCACTATGGCGAGGACATTGGGGTGGCAGTTGTCTTGAAGAAAGGTGGAAGTCTTTCAGAAGACACGCTGAAATCTTGGATTGCGCCTAAAGTTGCTAAATTCAAGATTCCCAAAAAAGTGAATCTCATATGTTCTCCTCTTTCGAATAATGACTTTACATAAGCCATTCATATCATATTTATATACATCGAGCTAACGCATATGCTTCACTTCGGGTACAGATATGGATCCTCCCCGAAATTCCCAAAACCGCAACAGGTATGGACTGCGCTACCTTTCTTGGACCGCTTGACATACATAAACTGATCCACACAAATCCACAGGCAAAATACAGCGCCGTAAAGTCGCGGAAGCAATGTTGAAGAAAGAAACGCCAAGCCCGAAGCTGTAGAGTCAGAATTTTTTTCCGAATTACTACGATAGAGACAGAAATATGTATCTAATTTAGCCAATACCATTACCATGCGCCATAGCCATACATGAAAAGCGTCCCTTCAAATCTTGCTTATAGGGATGGGTGAATCCTACTAAAGCCCTTGAATATATATAGACTGGAATCTTCATGTCTGTCTCAATACACTTTCTACGTTCTTGCTTACTGTTCCTCTCTTCCCTAGTGAGCTCTGTTCTATGATTAACTGTGATGGCTTGGTTTGGCATGTCTCTTCTTACATATCTGGCTGGCGCTGGCGACAAAGATTAAATAGCCATTCAGAAGCCAACAAGAGTTTGAGACACAATGGTATCTCATTAAGTCATGAAACGCCCATTGTGGTTGCACTAACTGTGATTGGGTGATTTTTCTCTGAATGTATTGATTCAAATGAAGTGCCAAAACAGCGTTTTCGATATATACAGTCTCTCTAACAATTTCTAACAATTTCAGTGACATTTTGACATTTTTTTCTTTCTTTTCCCTCTCTTATTGCAACGGAACTGTTGGGCACACAATGGGTGTTCTCGAGCAATAAATAAAACAAACAAGCTTACGACAAATCAAATCCTATGGGATTGGAAGGCTCAACGGTCGTCAGATGAGAACAGCCGCCAATGCGGTACTGCACGCAGAAACCTCATGAACGGAAATAGCATGGAACGCGGAACCTAAGTATGCTTGGGCACTCCTCATATTTTACTACTGTTGTTTCGATTTTGTCCAAAAAGCTTCTTGTAGCTGCGATAGCCCGCTTTGAAAGCCGCTAAAATTACAGCGGAAGTCGAATAGCAGATTTGAACTATTATGAATAGATTAGGACGGGGATATCCTCAGGAAAGATTTATGTTATAGAACATCAACATACCGGTGTTATTTGCATCTAACATTTTCGAGTTAGTCGTGTGTTGTCGTAGAATAGAGAGAAGGTGAAGGGGGGGGGGGGGGTTTAGAACAGCAACAATATTATTATAATAATAATAATAATAATAACAGGTCAACTTACATTGTCGATATCCCACACTCCCGACGTGGCATAGATATCCTTTGATAACTGCTCACGTATGGCTTCGGGAGACTCAGCAACCACAATTAACATACTGCCCTTCATTGTAGGCGTCTGGCCCTCCTCGGGGTGCGATTCAAGCATAGCTCCTGTTCGTCAAATAGTTAGATTTTATGTAGCTTACCAATGCTTCGCTTCGGGCTCTGGGGGTGAGTGATATCGAGTGCAAAATTGAAACACAATTTCATGCTATACTGGCGATTGGGGAATGAAATTTTAGGTACCTCCAAGTTTAAGGAATCCGGAGTCTAATATCGGTTGGAGGTTTGCGAGATGAGCGCTGTATGGATGTTAATTAGCTGGGTACCCAAGATGGTTGATCGAGAGTGCTAGACAGTTTTCAGGAAGTCGCCAAAAGTATCAAGGGGAGGGGGAATTGGGATAGCATATGGGAATGGTGTGTCCATATTATATTCCCAGTAGCTGATATCCGATATGACAGACTCAAATCTTTCTATTGTTAAAATCAAGGGCATGATGAGAATAGAGAAGACGTAAAGAGACCTAATATGTCCCAAACTCACCTTCGAACTTCTATTCTCTTCTGGAGAGCGCCCTCCTTATCTGGCACAATGACCATGTACTCATTTTTCGCTTTCGTTGTCGACGCCATATTCCGATGGTTAGCGGTGGTATGTGAGCATACGAGCGTGGCAGGCAGATATTTTGCAGCAGTTATCCTATGCTGATATTGGTATAAATGCTGAAAACCACAACGACGGTTAAGGAAAATGAGGGGGTTTCGGGCAGCCATAATGCGGAATGGACAACTATCCACCTACACAGGTATCTATTTCAAGTAGCGTCGATGTGTGGGGTAACTTAGTTAAGTATCGGGTATAGGAATTTGTGTTGGTTGTGTCAACAACAAATGCTCGGCTTGTCGTAGGGCGTGAGCAGATGTGCTGAAACAGATCGACCACCGTTGGAACACGACTCAGATATCATATTTATATGTCCGCCCGATTGTCTCATATCTTTTATTCTTTTCCTTGAATTTGAATGGCTCATAAGGAAAATGTGGAATCTTTGTGGAAGTTCGATCTATATGCGGGAGCGTAGCAATTTTCTTCTTATTTTTTTCCTGAACACAAGCCAGATCAGACCATATATTTATATTTCTTTTAAATCTACCAGTCTCAACATTTCTAACTACACAGATCCGTAACCTGTCTATAGAAATATACGCAGCGGGAGTTATATTATTCTGACTGATAGTCTTGGCGGCGGCTCGATCGAGCGTAGCTCGGCTTAATAAGTTTTTCCGAGGTTCCAAAACCCAATTGCCAGCCCTCGTAGCCCAATGGTAGGGCGTCAGACTTCTAACTTCCCAGGTTGGGAATAAGTGAATCTGAAGGTTGCGGGTTCGAGTCCCGCCGGGGGTAGAACCTCTGTTTCTATTTTACTTTGTATTTTTTGCCTGTCCTGGCCACTGTCCTCACTCGAGTTGTAATAATGGTTTCATATTTTAACTAACCGCGCGTTGATGACCTGGAAGACCCACGAGGAGGCTTCTTTCAGTGATGTGCGCGGTAATGTGATCAATCACTCAATAACATGATCAACCACTCAACGCCCGCTCAATCTTCATTTTTTCATCCATCTTCAAACACTCACAACATGCACCATAAAGCAGTTATACAAGCAGCAATTGATGATTTGAACACACAATTGATCTCTAATTACAGAGGGCGCTATTAAAAGAATTGCGCCGCTCAGATTCAATTTATACAGCTAAGAAATACTACTATGTTTTAATAAGTAATTAATTACATTTAGCTTCTAATCACCCTGCATTCTATTTATATGAGATTGTCACATATTGTGAATTGATTTCTCTTTATTCTCTAATTTCTCATCTCTGGCATCTCATCTGATAATTCATAACTGTTAAAATATAATACTCAATACTAATATTACTACAAGAGCTCTCATAATGACTCTTAAATTACTCTATTTTATCAAGTCAAATGCTGAAATCACAGAAATCACCCAGATCTCAAAGAGTCAAATTAACTGTATATATAAATATGTAATTGAATGCAGATTTATATACTTCACAATGAATAACCTTAAAGATGCTCTCAAATCTGACTAATTAACTCAGAGAAATAATAGCATTAAAGATACTATTCTTGCAAAGATTCAACATAATTAATAAAAATTATAGACTTAGAAGATAATAATGAATATAGAGAAGAAAAGCAGTATAAGTAGATAAAAAAATAGAATATTCATCTGACTGTGAAATAAGATTGACAGACAGATTATATATTAAAAAGGAAGTATATTAATAGGCAGACAGATTACATGTTAAAAAGAAGCAGATTGAAGAGTATATTTTATATATGTTAAATAGCAATGAAGATAATAAAATAATCAAGAACTGAATATTCAGTATAAATTACAGTGTGAATTTCTGCTAAGATTTATAGCACTGTTTAACTGTCTTTTTATCAGTGTAATTCTGTTAATAGCGCTCTCTGTACACTGAGACTGCTAAAAAATATGAAATTAGTTAATATATACTATTATTGCATTATAGAGGTGTTCAAATATCAAGAAAAAAGTAAGCTTCACTCACTGCAAAAATCTCACAGATTTACATGAAAAACAGCTTCTTTTTCATATTAATTAATTAACAGATTGCAGTTTCTCTTATACATTACAAATTCTTCATAATCTTATTAGTAAGATTCTAAAAGCATCTATTGAAATCAACTGACTATTATGATTCTGTCAGTATTACAAGAATATAATCAAGTCACTCTATTTTCAAAATATTAATTAAAAACACAAAATTGCAGACAATTTCATATACTTCAAGTATTATTTTAATCTTGTAATAAATTTCTTTCTTTTACTAATTTTTTACTTCTTACTAATTAATTAATATTAATTTATAATTACAGATAAAAATCACTTAATATAATATTAAATCTATAAATATTTATCACTTTGATAAAGAAGAATTTCTATTAGAACTTATTCACAGTCTCAAACATATTATATATATTACTTCACACAAATTAAATTATATAATAAATGTGAGTTAGAATAACAGTTGAGAATTAATAACACTACTGATTTTAATTTATACAGATAAAACTTCACTTTCATCTACTTTTATATATCAAGAAAAATCAAGAAATATACAAAATACTTAAATGAAGAATTTTGATAGTGAAAAGAATCAGACTTACTTTTCTACTTCAGAAAATGAATGAAGCAATAATAAATATAAATTAATATAATTAAAGAATATTTTTAAATCTCTTATAAAAAAGAAAGTAGAGTGTAAATATAAGTTTTTTATATTAAATAGTCACTTCTTTAATATTGATATATGTGGCGGGCTGCGCCTGATCAATCATATAGACTATTTTATTACACTTCAGAGATTTCACTGAAAGCTCTGATTCTCAGTCTGCTAAAAGTTCTGATTCTCAGTTGTGACAGGCTGCGCCCGATCATATAGACTATTCCATTACACTTCATAGATTCCGCTGAAAGCTCCGATTCTCGGTCATTCTTGATCACTGATCCTCGGCCAAAAAACCCACAGAATTCCTATTCTTCCGCCCCGAAGCTCCACCGCGTACATCATCATGTACACATATAAATATTCACTCTGATCACTGATTCTCACACTTCCTCTTTCTTTCCTTCTTTAATGTTTTTCACTTTTATATTATAAGACCTATATATTATACTAATCTATTCAGTGTAGACCTCTTACACTTGAAAAATATTCATTATCTTCTTATTAGAAATAATTATTCACACTCATTGTCTTCTTATTAGAAATAATTACTTATCAAGAAGATATCTGAATATGTAATAACATGTAAGAAATAGAAAAACAATTAACCAGTTAAGCAGACACTGAGTTCTTAGATAGAAGCTTACTCATCAGTTACTCTGACTCTGCAACAAGATCTTACAAAGAGAACAAGATCTTACAAAGAGAATATCAGTGAAAGACCTGAGAGTTCTAACACTCTAGATGTATGAGATATTCATACAATTACACTTCTTCAGATTTCACAGATATCACATATCTGATGAATGATATAATCATGTCTAATAATAACATGAAAGAATTCTCAAATGTGAGTATAGATGTAATATCACAGTGACTTTAAGCAATGTTGAAATTACAATAATAATAAATAGCTGATATGTATATGAATCAACAACATCAATATAAGGAAATTCAATGATTAACTTAACAAGAAATCTCTGCAATTTCAACACTGACAGAATTAAATATAAACATAATGCAAGTACTGAAGAAACACTTAGATACTTCTATATATTTTAATACTTCTGATCTCACTCTCTACTCATCATAAAGACTGGAAATGCTTGTGAAACTAAGTGTAGATAGAGATGTTATCAGTTCATTAATCAATCAAGATTGATATATCAATGAATGATTGAAAAATTGTACAAAACAGAAGTTTCATTTATGAATGAAAGTATGTGAATCAGTGTTGTGAACATCTGATAATATTATCAAATATCTTGATATTCTGTTCTGAGACACTGTCATGTAACAGAAAGTATTAGATTGATTACAGAGTGTCTGACAGAGAAACACTTCTCTCATAATATTTATTCCTAACTTCAACATCAAGATTCTAGAAGCAGATAATCAATCTTGAAAGAATTAAATGAAGATTAGTATGCTTAAAAAGACATTAACTTTCAAACTCTTACAGACTCTTATAAGTGTAAACAAAGACCTGACTTATGAAGGCTTCTGCATACAACTTCAGACATTGAATGATCATCTTATCAAGCTCAAGAGTATACAGAACAGTGATAGAAGACATTACATCTCAGTCACTCATACACCTGTG